GAGAGAGAGAGAGAGAGAGAGAGAGAGAGAGAGAGAGAGAGAGAGAGAGAGAGAGAGCCTGGTTTCCTATGAGCGAGTGAGCGGAGGAGGACGAGCGTTAGGAGTATGACGTTGCAGACGGAAGGAAGGAAGAAGCGGGATGGGAAAAGGCGTAGGGTTTTCTATTTTGATTAATTCCGATTTTCTCTGCATTCTATTTCGTCTCACCTTGCTACTTCCTCCCTATCTTTCTCTTCCATGGCTTCCTCGCCCACGTTCTTCTCTGTTGTCCTATTCCTCCTCCACGTCATCCTTCTCTCATCTTCCTCCGCCACGTCAGCCGCTGGATATGTCCAGTTTCATGGGAAAGCCGTGAAGGCCAATATCCTCCCCCTCCATCCACTAGAGCACGGGAAAGGAAGGGAATGGAGAAGCGATGAAGATCCAATGATGGTTCGAAGATAAGTTGGGAGGACGAAGAGGAGGGAGAGGAGGGAGAGGAGAGGGAGGAGAGAGAGAGGAGAGAGAGAGGAGAGAGAGAGGAGAGATTAAGTGATGATGATGATGGCGTAGAGATGGGGGTAGGAGGATGAGGATGCTGACGTGGAAGGCGATGGAGGGGATAAATGGGGGGGAATAGGCTATGGTGATTTCGTTTACCTTTTTTCTCTTTACCTTTTTCTGTTTTGTTTGACCATTGTACCCGCTCCTCATCGATCTCCTCCTCCTCCTCCTCCATGTCTCTCCTCTCTATTCCATCGTTCTCGACTTCAGGCCTCCCCATCATCCTTCGCCGTTATGTGATCCTTCTGCCTCTTCTGGCAATATCGCACAGCCTCGAGAGCAGACGGGAAAGGCCATCGGGCTAGGAAGACTGCAAGGGTTTCACGTTGTCGTTCTTGCTTCTCCATATCTTTTTTCACGATGTCATCCTTCTCCGGCACTTCATCTCCTGCACTTCATCTCCTGCACTTCATCTCCTGCACTTCCTCTTCTCCACTTCATCTCCTCCACTTCATCCTTCATCTTCCCGTGGCTGAGAGATCCAAGGCAGAAGGATGGAGAGGGGGAGAGAGGATGATCATGCTTCTCAACGTCCCTCTCTCCTCCACTTCATCCTTCTGCCTTGGATGCCAATATCCCTCAGCCTCGGGAGAGATCATCCTCACACTTGTGCTAAGGCTAGAACGACGACAAGGGTTTTCATGTTTCCGTCGTCGTCCTCCACATTCACCTTCTGCTGCAGATCCTGCTGCCTGGCGGTACACACACACACGCACACACACACACACAGACACAGA